GGGCATCACTGAGTGAGGATGCCTCATTCGAGAAGATGGCTCGCTGAGGAAGATCTGGCTCGACAGGAAGGCGAAGACGCAACGTCGAGGCGAACAACAAGCATGGACCATCGACTCGGATCACCGGCTCTGAGGAAGACGAAGACGTCGAAACGTTAGCCGAAAATAAATATATTTATCAACCTCGTGTAAGCTTATCAAGAAAGAATACATATTGATTTGTCACACCGAGGTCTAGTCTCAATGTTTTAAAAGAGGTCACGACGAAATAAATTTTAGCGAAGTTATCGGGACGAAAACAATAGATGAGGATGGTGAAATGGCTTGGAAGAAATCATTAAAACGGTGAAATGCTCAAATTTTCCCATGTTCAACTTTCCTCCACTTAATTCGAGTATACTAGCTGCTGCTTGTCTAGGCTACTCTAACAAATAAATTATTTCCACTTTCAGCAAGTATTTCTAAGAGCTCTAGCCAAGTCTTCATTTAACCGTTGGAGAAACAAGCTTTTAGAAAATTCTGCCCGGCGATGGTGCTCTAAGTGCTTCAAAACATTGTCACTGAAATGGTTTTAACATTTAACACTGTATTCTCATACAAGAGAAGGCGGATAGCACAGTGGCATTGATGTCTACCATCGCAAGCATGGCGCTTCCTCGATTATACTACAGGCCTACCAAGCCTCTGATCTCTCCCACGTTGGGAAATTGGTACCGGACTTGTCCGGGAAGGAGCCACTATCTGCAATTCAAATAAGATGCTCCAGCTTGACAATTTCGGGACCCCAGGAAAAACCGACTCGACCGGCATTCTGCGACATCCGAGATGAAATGAAAATCCTCAAGAAGCAGCTGGGGTCACACGCAAAATTTAGAGAACCTAAGTGGGTGATGGATGCGAAGAATAAAATCGAATACGAAAAGTACTGATACCAGCAGAGTGGACGTGAAGAAAAGACAGCTCATATGAAGCGAAATAATAAAATTTCCAACGAACGACTTTCTATCAGCCTCGGCACTGATGAAATAGTTGGTCAATTTATGCATTATTCAAAAGAGATCTATACAAGTCGAGTAAATTGGAACAAACGCGTGTAGTTGCCGGTAAAACTAGTTGTCGGTCTCGTCCACTTTTGAATTGAAGCAAACTTTTGAGTACAGATCTTACTTGCAGTTAATGGAGTTGCTGCAATGATGATGCCACACTGCATAATCATCGGAAACACTGTGACTGCTTTATGCACTGAAATGAATCCAGCAATGATGTGTCAGCTAGACAATGGCATGATGATCGGGGCTATTCCCGATATGCACTTGTCAATTTCCGGAAGCCTCACGGTTTGCGTTACTTAACTTTCAAAACAAAGTCATTTTAAAAAGAAAGAATTGTGTAGACCACAAATATCATCATGGCGAATTGGTCGAGGGAGATGTGGCAAGCTGTGGTGAACAGAGCAGTTCGAATGCTGGCATCGGGCCCATTTGGTACGAACTTCGCCTCGGCATTTGCGACCGTCAACTGAAACGCGTGTTTAACTGTGAAGCGGGCAGAATAAACTGTGCCGCCGTTAAATTCACAATGGTAATAAAGTTGAAAAATGTGCTCGATGATTAGATTTATGAAAAAAAAACAAAGTTCAGTTTAAAGTATGATAAATCACTAACCCTATCCTTGTAAGCCGACTGAAGACTTCTGCATACACGAAGCGATCTGGAAAAATCTCCAAGTTCATACATTTAAAAACTGCTCCAACCTCACCCCACGGTAGGTCAAAAAAAACTCGTAAAAATATGAATACCCTGCAAAAACAGTAAAAGTTTTAAAACAAATACTTTCATTGTGACATCCCATGAAAAAAAGACCTGCTGTAGCACAGCAATTAAGAGAAACACGAGGTCGATACAGTTCTACTTCGTTATTCCCCCATTCGCTTGCCTACTACCCCTCATCTCTCACGGGTCGGCAAGTTTGCACCAAATTTCACAGAAAGTGAAAAGCTGATTTAATTTGTTGGTGAGCAAAGTTTCACTGTCCAAAACAAACATATAACAAGAAATTTCGTCTTCCATTGAATTTCTTCACCATTCCATCCATCTTTAGACTTTCAGTTTTTTATCGTCCTTCATTTTCTTCCTATTTAATCTTTGTCATTTATCAGAGAACCTTCCACTGCGGACTAGCTTCTCTAAACGGCTGTAGAACGTGTTCACCTCTCTCAACAGTTGCTCACGTTAGCGAGTAAAAACAGGTGATGGCGACTTATTCGTGGTGGAAAGTTGGAGACGAAGAAAAACGAAGCGCAACGATAGGATTTCGCACGAAGTGACTAGATAGGAAATAGATCAGTGCAGGTCAAAGCCGATGTCTCGGACATGTGAGAATTTCTCCTCATGAATGAGAAGTCTCCTGTCATTTAATTGTCCTATGCCCATCTTTTTTGTTTTTCGCCTCTTTTTCAACGACCACAAGGAACTTGGTGCAACCAAGTTGACTCAAGCCGATGGTGAGCAGCTGGTCATTGTCGCGACGTGTTGTTGGCACTTTATTTCAAAGTTTCTGTTATGTCTTCGTGTCTTATGCATACATAATGAAGTGTCTTGTCGGCTATAAAATTCCTATCTGGATGCTGTTTCATACGAATGCAGAGTGGTGTACTAATTCTGCCAACGTGTTCATTCATTCGCACTTCACAAGACGCGGTACCAGTTACAAGACCACAAAGTAGCAGAAGCCAAATAGTAAACTCTCTAACGTCGTCAAACAGCTGCGCCCCTGTTTCTCTTCCCTTCTTTGCAGCCTCGCAGTCCATTTATAGGGGTGGCTGAGCACGGACTCCAACTTAACAATAAGGTCCGATACCAGACGGCTACTGCTTGTAGAATCACAGCTATTCAATCACCTGTATCACCTGCAGTCCATTTGATCGCCGAGTGACTGAAGCAGGCAAAGGCAAATCTTCAATATTTCTCTGTCGTCTGGAGGAGTAGCCCAGTGGGTTCTGCTCGCTGTAAGAACTCGTTAAGCATCAAACCCTTCTGTTTTACCTTTAATTTTCTGCCTACTACAATTTTCATGGCAAGGTACTAAGGGAAATACAACCGCAACGTTGCTGAGATATTTGCATAACTCTGAAACGCAGGTGTATATGGTGTGGAACGAACGGGCTATTGATGATGACAAAAGACCGATAGAACTAGCTGAGAGACAGGCGAAACGAAGGACCCGCATGGTGTGATGATGAACGCGTTACTCTCCGAAAAGGACAATAGCGCGTTCAATTTCCACTGCAGACACCTGCGATCCGGAGTTTCGCAAATATCTCAGCAACGCTGTGGTTGTATCAAATCTTTCTTCTAAGCTTTTCGTGAAGAACTCTCACCATCGGGTTGGGTCCTGCTGTGCATCTGACATCTCGAGGTATCCAGTCACTGACGGCACTTGTCCACCAATTATCCTTCATACGCATTACGTGTCCAGCCTACATCGGCTTTGACCGTTTGAAGTGCAGAACGGCATCTTTGATTTTCCATCGTGGACGCAGGTCGAGGCTTTGGATCTCTTTCTCTACTTCTACAACACCTGACATTCCTAGCATCGTCCTTTCAACAGCACGTCCGATAAGACTCAGCGACCTTTCATCCTGCTTACGATGTGATCAGGTTTTTGAAGCGTACACTGAGGCATGAAGTACCGTTGAGTCGAAAAGGTGGACACGGAGTAGGGTGTTCTTTGTTCTCTTCACAACATCCTCGATGCTCTTGAAAGCTTTCCAAGCCCCTCGTTTCCTTCTGCTCAGCTCTGGAGCTAAGGAGATCACATTGATTTCCCCACCTAAATAAACATAACTAGAGTATTCGGAGATATTCGTTCCGTTGAGCGTGAATGGGGCATGCGAAACCAATCCGTTCTTCATGAACATCGTTTTTGTAAGATTTAGTCGAAGTACAATCTCTCCACGGGCTTTGTCAAAATCGTCAAGTATTCGTTCACCTTGGTTAATGTTTGGTGCTATAAGGACGATGTCATCAGCACAGCGAAGATGGTGTAATTGCAGCCTATCGATTTTCACTCCCATATTATCACATTCCCATGTTCGTATCGCCCTACCTAACCTCTCTTCTGATGTCGTTGTTAATATCGCTGTAGAATGGTGATATCTTGGTTGTCAAATTTTTGCAAAGCTCTCCAAAACTTTTTATATAGTGAGTAGGTACTCCTTGACTATCGAGGGCTTTTATGACTGCTTCTATCCTAATTGACTCAAAGGCCATCCTCAAATTTATGGAAGTGAAATAGAGCGGTCTTTTGTACTCTTTAGTTCAATGAGACTCGTTGCCGTGTAGATGTGGTCGGTTGTACTGAGCCCTTTTCGAAATCTTGCTTGCCACATGGCTGCTCTTCGTCCACTGTTCTGTCAATCCTTCTTAGGACGACTGGATTAAAGAGTTCGTGAACTACAGACAAAAAGCAAATTGGCAATGGTTGCCTATATCGTGGACGTGCCCCTTCTTGAAAATTAGCATGGTCTTGCTGGTCTTTCATTGAGTAGGGACCTTGCATTCAGAGAGGGTAACGTGCGAAGAACCGAGCCAGTGTGTTTACGAGGACTGGAGAAAGGTTCTTCAGGTGCCCGGACTTATTCAGTCCGGGCCTGCACCTGATCGATTTTTCACTGACGAAATGGCAGGTCAGGTTTCGGAAGGGTGAACCAGTGCTGCAACATATCCATCCCCTTTATTTCTTATGACAGGAGGTGGACGTGGCTATCAAAGCGATCTGAGTAGTATTCGTGAATGATTTTCGCCATTCCCATTCTGGCCGCTGTAACTGCTCCGTTTGGAGATCGGAGTGCAATATCTTGGTTTTGTGATTGGATAAGCTTCAGTGGGCTTTCAGAATGGTTTTCCCAGCCTCTGCATCTTCGACCATTACCGCTACTCTTCTCTCCTAAAGATCTTCTTTTATCGCCTGTCTGCATTGTTTTCCAAGTTCGGACATTAGCTCGCGGTTGCCTACAGCTCGTGCAATTCTACGCTGGCGTATCATCTCGAGTGTTTCTGGAAACAGACGTCTCTTGGTAACATTCGAACTCTCAGCTTTCGCAGCACTAACGTGATGATATTGAAACAGCCGATCATATTCTTCGTCGATATTGTCGACAACGGTTCCCAACAGCCGACGGATCAGTTGAATAAGTCCCAATTTATAGCGGTTTTGGAACTTCGTTTATTGAATTTAGCGGTTTTTTTCCTTTCAACGAGAAATGGAATTAAGCACGAAGGAGACAGTGGCCTGTACGTGTCAAATTTTAGAAAACAGCGACATCGGCCAGGCAAAACCTTCTACCTTCTGAAGACGTTGTCTACTTCGTCATGGTCCTGTCCATTTGAAGGCTCCCTCGTCCTGCGTTGAGGGTGGAACTTCTGGAATTGCGGGATACCATGGATGCTTCCAGTTGTCGTGATAAATCTACACAGCCGCTCACCCTGTTCGCTGCAATTCAATCCTTCGGTCCAAATATAACGTTCTTCAGACCCTCTTGTTGGTCTAATCTTTGCGTTAAAATCTCCAATGATGACCATGAAGAATGTATAGTCTTCCTTGTAGAAAGCCAGAATTAATCCACATCTTCTTAGTCGTAACATCCGATTCGGGTTGTTAGTTCCTCGAATAAGTCAATGTTCATGGACATACTAGTGTTGACGAGAACTCCGACGCCTCCGACTTCCTTCCTGTCGCATGTTCCGATGTACAGTTCTTTTCCGGTGTCATAGACGGCGCTCAATGGGTGGCTTCGTCTCGCTCGGCCAGGCCGATGACGTCTCACCTTATTCTGCTTGCTTGCATGAGCAAGTTTACCGAGGACTCGGATGCAAATGTACTTGCATTTTAAGTACAGATCGTCACCTAAGTTCTTCGTGATCTAAGCAGCTTCCATTTGCCTTCAAATTTTAGCAGCCTCGCCGTACTCGTCCTACTCAACGCTACGAAATTTGGGTTTTTCTGGAGTCAGGGGCATGAGACCTGTTCCTTTCACTGTGTGTAGTTTCCTAATACTAACGCATAGCTTGCGCAGTGGAGCTTATTTGTTGGACGCGACTCCTAACGCCCTCCCATATATTTCCCTATCACTTGATTGCAGACATTTGCCCGAATTTACTCGTAGAATGCAACCCACGTAAAATCGAACGCGCCCACACACGCATACTTGAACATGTGTCGTAAACACAGAAAGTGTGTCGTTTTCTTGCTCAGCAATCGCGAGGTTTTTAAACAGCATACATTTACTTCCATAGAAAAACACAATACACTACAACACTAGCTGACGTTTCGGCAGTATCGCCTTCTTCAGAGCCTGGAAGGGTATACTGATATACAATCTACTAGGCCAAACGCTTCACTAACACTTACACAAAGACGAAAGACTCTTTGGTAATTACATGATCAACAACTTCTCGAAAAACCCACCGCTTTTTCGTGACTTCCAATGAGGAAGTTTAGAACAGCTGATTAGAGTCGCATGTGGTTGACGACTGCACCATCCCACATCAAAAATCGATGCGAACATACGGGATCAGGTCGCGTATGACCTCCGGGCATTCATCCCTGCTATTCATTGTAGAGTTTTTGGCATTGATCGAAAAAGCCTCAAGAAGTTTTCGCGCTGGGGTTTTGGACTCCTGTGCAAGGATATTGACTTTTACTTCAAAATCGTCTCCGCTATGCTTTTGTATCCTATGCGTGCCTAGTGGGGTGCTTCGTCTTAGTTTTCGTTTGCCATCTAGGTGTTCTTTTATACGGATACACAAAGGTCTGCCTGTTTCGCCAATATATTCATCTCCGCAATTATTACAAGAGATCAGGTATATCGTACCTGAACTCATGTAATCACCGTCTCTGCCGTAAGGGCATATTACGCGATTTGTTGTTTCACACAGGCGGTCATACAGGCGGAAGCGAACTAATTGGAGACGTAGAGTAGCCGGTGGTATTTCAACTATCGCTACCGATTCTTGTAGAACTGCCCTTCTTAAGCATCGTTTTATAGCTACGCTTACTTCATCGCTTTTAAAAGGCAGCATAAACGAGACTTTCTTTTGGCCAAGTGTTTCGCGTGGGCGAGTCGTTCTCCTTGTAAACTAATCTCGTGGGGTTACTATTTCATAGCCATTGGAGATGGCTATTTGCCGAGCCAAGCCGCGCGATTCTTCCTTCAGTTCCCTACTTGTGCACACAGAGGTGGCTGTTCGAAACATGTTTCTCACAATCGCCCTCTTTGTGTGTTAAGGGTGGTAAGAAAGGAAGTGAACAAGAATGTTCTTGTTACTTGGATTTCGATACCACTTTGTCAGGTAACCGCTACTTGATAGGTTTATTTGAACGTCCAAAAACGTAAGCCAGTTTTTTCTCCGTTTCTCTCGGGTGAACTTTATTTACTCGGACTGCTCGTTCAATAATTCAAAGCATTTGTCAATCTCTTTCTGCGTAGAGAAGACGACAAAACAATCATCTACATATCTGCAGCAGAGTAGTAGCCGGAGATCGAGAACAGAGGCTTCTATCTTAGACATAAACACAATGGCAAGGCTTGGCGCCGATCGCTGTCCCACTGCCAACCCCCTTATTTGCGCGAAATATTTCCCAGACCATCTGGAAATCGAGCAGTTTAGGCACTTCCTTAAGATAGCCATTAGCTGCTGGTTGGACAAGCCATGCATATTTATTCTTCCTTCATGTTCAACAAGAAGTTCGAAGATGGCTTGCATTGCGGAGTCATTCGACACGTTGGTGTACAGTGCCGTAACGTCGAAAGACTCCGTTACGTACGCGTTATTAGGAGACGCGTTACGTAGACGTTCTAGGAACATTGGGGTGTTTGTGAGGTGAGCTGGAATGTGGTTAAACACCTGGGTAAGTATCAGGCTTAAAAACCAGGTTATTCTATCCGTTGGCCCGTCTACACAGCTGATGATCGGTCTGACCTTAAATGATGACGGATTGGTTGACGCATGATCATCAGGTGATACCAACTTATGTGTTTTAATAAGTAGGTATAGGACGGGACATGTTGGTCTATCGATTTTAAAGTGCGAAATAACCGATGATTTTAATTCCGCAGCCTTTGCCACACTGACGGTACTCCACTGAAGAGAATTCGACTCAGTAGGAAGAAAAAGGCGTCATATCGGAAAGACGAAAAGCTTTGGGTTGTTCACTCATATTATCTAATCTGATGAAGACTAGCAGAATAAAAGTCTGGTAACAACTTCGTGTTAGCCCATCGATAAAACAAGGTATGTTGTATTTATTCTCGAATTTCTTTTATTTTTGCCCTAACACTCATGATCTCAGACTCCGTTGTGCAGCGATGGATGCATCGCGAAACAAGGTCGATTCACCTGAAAAGAAGTCCAATGTTTCTACCTTAACGTCGAGTTAAGGGCAAACCAATACCAGGTGTCACCGCAGTCGCGGAACTAAACTAGTTGCATAATGGCAAATGTCCCTCTCATCAACAAAGGCGACGACTGAGCTTGGCCGTCACGACCCGAGGAATGCTTCGGTTAGACAGACCTCATGACTCTGAGGAACCACAATGGCTAATCCAGCAAATATCCACGGGATGGAAATTACGCTGTGCCCAGTAGAATTAGTGCTCACGAGCCAACCAAATATCCAAGTGTCCGACTGCCCTAATGTTCCCTCTCTCATAAGCTTCTTTTAGGAAAATTGTGAGGTAATGGTGTGAGTATCTTTTTACCGCTACTATTTATGTACGAATTTCTCAATCGTCGGTAAGGCTTGCACTAACTATTTATAACACTACAAAATCCGCTTTATTTTCTTTAAATGAATATGTCCATTTAACACGTTTATCACATAGTAGTTTAATACCATTATGAAGCTTAAATGGGAAAGCTTACATAATCATATAGATTGTTCTGAACACTCCACAGTTGAGCTTGCGCATTAGCTGACGATCGCAAATGCCGAGAAGAAGTTAGCTCCAAATAGACCCGATGCCAACATTCGAACCGCTCTGTTCACTACACTTTGCCACATGTCTGTAGACCA